TTTAAGAATTTCTGCAGTATTGGTCGAATCCCTCCTAAAGCCTCCTTTTCAGGGGGTACTGTTTCTACCATGGGATCCGTGCCCCTTCTTTTAGGTTCACTTTTATGGGATGGACATTAACCATTTTAGTTGGGGTTCTACCAGCGCAAATGGTTTGATTGACCTGTTCATAGATTTCAGGTGGGAAGAGTTCACCTCCAGGACTTTCTGTGCAAGTCAGGAGCACCTGGAGCTGGAGAGCATGTTCCAGTGGGACCTCTATACCTAGTTGCTGCTTTTCAGGAGAAAAAGTTATTTGGGCATGCAGTTTGCAGAGTGAGTCTCTGCCCAGCAATGGAAGGGGACAGTCCGGCAGGCAGAGAAGGCGGCAGCCCTCTGGCCCCCGCGCCGGCATTCTAGGGGTCGAAGGGACGCCTGTTTTTGTGATCGTCCAGTCACTCCAGCAACTGTTACTGCATCGAGCTTTTCGTGGTTACTTTTGTATTTAACGCTAAATACCTCCACTATCTACAAGGAAATTAATTGACTTGCTCCCCACTGTTAACTGTATGCAGGGGTTGTGTGGAGAAATAGTAATAGGCCGGGAGATGCCCAAGGGGGCCCCTGGGCCTCTTCATTCATCACCAGACTCCCCGGCCTTCCTAGCATTTTTGGTGACAGAGTCCACCTTACTTCCCCTTTTGGATTTCTGGCACTGCTTCCGCCCATGGCCCTCCCCTTGCAATAGGCACATTGATTGGCGCCTGGGGGTGCTCTTCTCTGTCCTTTAGGGTCCCATTTCTTCCTCTGGCCTCGCCACCCTGCTTCTAAGAACACCATGGCCTGATTTATCTTCCTTGCTTCCTGGGTGTTTGGATTAAAGGCTAAGCCTACCAGCTGAGATGGGTCCATCCCCAATGCCCTGTCTAACTTCTGGAGTTTCCTTCCAATATCCAGGGCACTTTGTCCAATAACAGTCATGTTCACCATCCTCACATTCTCTGGTGCCTGTGGGTCAGCATCAGTGTTCTTCCTACAGGCCTGATAGATCCTTTCTAAAAATTCAGAATGGTCTTCATTTGGTTTTATTTTTTTTAAGGGCCTGTATCATATTCATATTCTTTTGTACAGACACCCACTTTTAAGCCCTTCCAGTATGCACTTTATGAAAAGGTCAGGAAGGCTAGGCCCCAAACATTTGGGTTCCAGTCAGGCTCTGTCCAAGGAATTGCCTCAGCTGGGTTAGGGGTCCCACTGGGATTCTCTTGGTGGAAATGTTGGGCCTTATTCATTTGCCTTATTTATAACTAGCTATCCCCCATCTGCAGTTAACAAAATGTTAAGGAGAGCCTGTACAGCTGCCCAGTTTGGATAAGTGTCCCCCATGCAGGAAACAGGGGTGATGTCTGCCCATTAGCCGATTTCCCCCTGCCCCACTACCCGCTCAGCTGCCAGGGGCAGACACTGCGCAGGAAGCTCAGGGCTTGGTCGGTTGGGGCCTGCCCATGCCACCCCCACACTGGCTCCTCCTCCGCCCTCCCCCCTTCCCCTTCTCCCCCTCCCCCCTCCCCCACCCAGCCCCCTCCTACTCCCAGCGACAGCTTACTCACCGCCCCCATGCTCCCCCATCCCCTCCAAAACCTCCCTCTGGGGACTTCCGGTGCAAACTGCCCCGCCCCTCCTGCAACCCCCAGAATCCCTCGCTGCACCCACACAAGTTTGCCCTGGTTGCCAGGGAGACACACGCAGTTACACAAGCAAGAAAAGATGGTCATTTTGGAAACCACCCAGGTACGATCTGCTTGCTGAGTGCACTGAATGGACCAGGAAGGGAATGCACCAAGAACAGAATTAGGAGACAGAACTTGGAACGGCAGTGGCTCACAAGTTCTGTAGTAGATGCTGGAAGATGGCAGAAGATAGCTCGGATCCATTTGGGGCTGAAACATAAAACTTTCTACGTACCGAGGGAGAAGAATGAAAGAATGAGACAAGGAAAAGGGAAGACACAAGGAAGGAAAGAAAAAGAGGGCAAGAGTGTGCAATGAGGGCCAGAAGGGAGAGAAATGCGTAGTTAGACGCAAAATGGAAGAAACGACAGTAAATGGAAAGAACAGGAATGAGAGAACAGAGATCAGAGGGAAAGAATAAGCACAGGAAGTGGAGCTGAAGGAGAGGAAGGCTGCAGGGAATTCCAGCTGGAGTCCTAGCTCAGGAGGAGGGAGCAGGAGAAAAGGCAGGGGGCGCAGTGGGGGGTGGGGGTGGGGAGGGCCCTCCGTCCAGGCTGCTCTTGCCCCTAGTAAGCCTGGCCTAGGGAGGGCACTCGTGTTTTGCCAGCGCCTTGTCCTTGCCGGTCTGACCTCCTTCTCTCTCATCACGTCCAGTGAATGCGCACAGGCGCAACAGTGCAAAGGCCTGGTGCAGGGGTCGGAAATGACTCTGAGGGAAAATGCTGTACTGGGGGAGGGCGGGGGACTTGGGGGGCAAGGCACTTCCTCTACCGCAGGAACACCCTCTTTGAGCTCTCCTCACCCGTCCACTCCACAAAAAGCCAGATTCTACGAAGACCAAATCAGGTTTCCGTCTTCACAAGGGGGTAAGGAGTAGGAGTGGCGCGGAAGCTTGGATTTCAAATGCCCAAGACCTCCCTGTCTGACTTCGATCCTTTTTTCCTTCCCTGTGCATTTATTCTGGAAACACCTTTACTTCTTCGGCAACACACTCAGGGCCCGGGTGCACGGATTTCTGCCCCGGCCCGGGTGATAACCAAGTTATACACCCGTACATCGTCTGCAAGCACTGGGCAGGTTGGCGGGTGGCGGGATGGCCGCACTAGGACGGGCCATCCTGGTGCACAGGGACATGCGGGCACGAAGGGCAGCCTGGGGAGGAGAGGGATGGCAAGAGTGACGGGGTCGTGGCACGCACCCTCCTGCCTAAGCTGGGTCACCACGCTCTCAGTCGGGTCCCAGAGGTCCCGCTCTACCACATGCAGCACGTAAAACACAAGAGGAGGGGCAAGCAGCACCCCTGCTGTGGCAACATTTCTGATGGCGAATCTCAGTGCAGACTCCCCTCCCTGAACCCAGCCTGGGATGCAACCAGCCAGGAGCAGAGTGAAGAGCGTGCGCATACACCTGATACACAGCCTCGCTCCTCACCACATGCTGTCACAGACCATGACGCCACGCCTGGGTGGAATCTGCCACGCGATACAGGCCTGGCCCACTGAGGTTCCCCGCGATGGTGACGCTGTAGGAAACAGACAAGGACCGCCGCTGCCTGGACAAGGAGTGAGACTACGGGGAAGCCCCGGTGCCGATCCTGCCTGCGGCCGCAGCAGGACCGAAGCTGTGGGTGTGGCAAAAGGGCAAAAACTGCAAGGGAGCCTTGTCAGGGTCTTAAAACAGTGAGCTGACGACATCTTGGGCCAGGGGTAGAAGATGGTTTTTCTATTCAGAGAGAAAATACTGATAACCAGAGGATACAGCAATATTATTAGATTTGGTTTATCCCAAGGAAGGAAATAAGAAAGGTGTCACTCGAGTACAGACAAGTGTCATGAGGGTGTAATGTCACCCACAGGAATCCCCCCACCCCAAGTTAGTGCTAGTTCCTCGTGAGGGAATTTAGCAACTTTGTTGCTGGTGGAACTAGGGTTCTTGCCCAGAGTCACAAGGAAAGCATTTCAGCGACCCACACGTAGGAGGATGAGGTGTAGTGGTAAGATTTATTGGAGCAAAAATAAAAGACTACCCCCGGTGCCTTGTGTCTTATCCCCAACCAGGTAGCTTAGCCCTGTCTAGCTGTGCATTAAGTACTGGGCCTGGTGAGCACAAGTGTCCACCAGGAGGGTCAGGATTCAGAACTGAAATGCCATCACCCTGGGCCCTGGGAGCCCAGCATCGTCTCTGCTCCCAGCTGCGCGTGCAGAGCGCTGCCCTGTGGCACCTTGGCCCACCCTTGGGCCTGCGCTTGGAGCCACACCGCTGCTACAGATAGGGACCTGCAGAAGCAAAGAGGTGGCGTGCTACCAAGAGGTGCCTTTGTTAAGCTTTGACTATATTCTCTCCAGCTTGGGAAAGGCAGGCTTTCTTTCAAACTACAATCCCTTTCCTGGCTCTTTGGTGGGCTTGTGCTGGTCCCTCCCCCTTACCAATCCCTTGTGTGGATCTTCCTGGGTTTTATGTCCCTCATCAGATCCGATCCTTTTTTGAGGCTAGCCACCTCCCCTTTATGATTGCCGTGCTGGCTTTTACTCTGCATGCCCCTAACAAAGGAACTTCCCCTTTACTGGCCCTTCTTTTTCCCTTCCCCCTGCAATCTGTGGGGAATAATGGGGTGTATCCTGGGGAGATTTCTTCCTGCCCACTGGAGGGTTGGTCAGGAATTAAGTCCTTTCAGGAGGATGAGGCAGTCCCCTTGGGAGCCTGTGAATGTTATAGCTTCCTAGTAAGTCAGGCTTAATGTTCAACTCAGCTCCCTAGTTTATTAGGCTTAATACTGATTTCATTTGCTTCTTTCCTTAACGAACTAGCTGCCTATGCTAACGACTTCACATGTGAAAAGAAACTGGCAGGTTCAAAAAGCTGTAAACTCTGTAACTCAACAGTTAAAACTGCAAAAACCTCAAATTTAATCTTAGCCTTTGTAACGGCATGATAAAATGGAATTCTCTAAGTCAGATTTGGCTGAGGCAGAGAAAAAATATGGAGAATTCCCCTCCCCTCCATGCCAAAGAAGTTAGCGCTCGTGTTCAGGACTTACAAAGGAGGGGGCTGGTGACTGTTTTGAGAGACTTGGCTCATCCCTGACTTCAATGATGTAAGACATTGAAGAGAAGATAAGAGGGGAAAGGGGTTTCTTTGAAGAGGAGTATTGGAGGATTAAGGAGGTTAGTTTTATTATTTTGAACAGTACCATACTGAGAAAACCAAGAATGTCTTGGGTCTCAAAGCGAGTAAAGGAACTTACCTAAGAGTAACCAAGATTATAGAAACTGTTTGTGAATTCATCCACAGGACAGAGGAGAAAGGATTTTGCAGATGTCTATTAAGGGACCATGAGGACAAGGTGGGTAATCTTCCCTGCTACCTTATACTTGGCAATATTGAATCACTGGTACCACAAATTAAGATGACAGTATGAGCAAGGCATACTGGGCATATCCTAAGCATAACATCATTAAACACCATATCATGTGGGCTGTTTAGGCTGCAAAGCAGAAGCCTGAGATAGCCAAAAATCATATACCAACAACAAACATATAAACAAGATTTCAGAGAATGAGGAGTGCCATGAAAGAGATGGAATAGTGTACAGTGGGGCAGAGAACAAAAAAGGATCTTCATCAATGAGTGATCTTGGAGTTAAGATTTACATAAGGAGGAAATAGCCACATGAAGAGCTTGGGGGGTGAGCACTCCAGAGTGAAGGAATTCCTTCCCCCACACTTGCACACTTGAGAAATAACAAGAAGATGGAAGCAGCTAGGATAGAGTAGACCAAGTAAGGGAAGACAGGAAAGAGTCCAGAGAAGCAGGCAAAGGCCAGATTTCACAGGGCCTGGAGGCCATGTAAGGGTTTTGGATTGCACTAGAAAATATTGAAAGGTTTTAAGCAGGAAATTTTCTCTTTCAGGTTACCCTTCCTGCTTTGTGAGGCTGAGTGGAAGGAGCAGGCAGATCAGTTAGGAGGAGCTGACAACAGACCAGAAGAAAGATGATGGTGGTCTGGTAGTCTAAAAGAAGTGGTCTGGAGGATAGATCCAAGATGGCAGAGGACTGAGTAGAAGCTACACTAACCTCCTCCCAGGACCAATTGGGAATTATAAATAAATTGCAGAGAAATCATCCAGAATAAACAACTGAACAGTATCAGGAGAGAAGCTTTATAACTATGGACGGACAGAAGAAACAGCTTCACCACAACATGACTGGCACAGAGGAATGTGAGAGGGCTGGCTGGGCTCCCACAGGCAGCAGCTGAAGTGCTGGAGGAATATTTCAGCGGCCAGGAGGACCCCAATGAGGAGTGTGGGGTCTAAACCCCAAGCTGGGAAAAAGACTACAGCACCAGAGCCTGAAAAGTACTCGTATAAAGTCCATCTGAGAAAAGTGGTAGGGTTTCTCTCTGCCAGAGACAGACAGCTAGAGATGCAGAGAGCCTTTTAAGGAGACAACACATAAATTTTCATTTGCAGCCACTTACCCTGGGCTCTGGCAAAGGGAAGGCAGAGTGGACTAGAGACACCTGAGGAGAGACTGGGGCCGGTGGCTTCAGGGAGAGAACTGAGAGAGCAGCCACCAGGATCCCTGTGCTGAGTCACCCTTCACACTGTAGCAGCCACCTCTCTCAGGCACACCACCCCGCCACTGAGTGGCATTAGTCTGAGGGGAAGCAATAGCCCCACCCAGGAGATACTCTGCCCCACCCTGTGATGCTTCCTGGCAGCTGAGTGCAGAGTGACTAGATTAACAACTGAAGGATTCAGCCACAGAGGATATAGATCCCAGGTAGTCTTGAACAGACTGCCTAAGACCAGACTGGGACACAACCTGACGTCACCAGAGGTGGATCCAGAAAGAAAAAAAAAAAACAATGGTAACTACTAGACACTACCAAGATGAAAACCACCATGGTCTTATTCATGATTTGCAATATTTTCTCTCCTGCATAGTTTTTTAACATTCATCTCTTGTCCTTCAAGTTTGTTCATATTAAGTCACTAGATTTTATATTATAGTTTATTTCAAATTTCATATTTTGCTCCTCCCTTCTTTTACCCCATTTCACCTTCTCCTTTCCTTTCTTATTTTCATTTTAAATTTTGCTTTCTCTCTTGCTCTAACTTGTTTCCATTCTGCACTCTTACTATTTCTCCCCTCTCTGGCCTCTCAAAACCATTTTTCTTGTCATTGGTTATCTCATATTCCTTTTCCCACTCTTAAAATACCTGTGTTCAGTGGGCGGGGGGTGGAGGGGGTGGAATGGAGACAACTGTACTTGAACAATAAAAAAATACCTGTGTTCTCTCTCCACCTTTATCAATCTTCACTCACAGGTATTGGATAAGGTGATTGCTGTTACAGTTCTTCAATCTTATTTCTAGATATAACTATGTATTTCAAATCTCAAATATCACTGTTCCCCTCTCCTACTCCATTTTGCCTTCCTCTTGCCCCTCCTTTTTTTCATTTTAAACATTAATTTTTCCCTGTCTTAGCTGGGTTTTCATCCTGCACTCTTACTATTCCTTCTCCTCCTATCGTCTCAAAATAACTTCTCTTTTCTCTAGACATCTCTTAGCCCTTGTTTCTTTCTTTGTGCCCTCTTATTCCTATTCCGCCTATATAAATTATAGCTAATTGTTTGCTCATATCTCTGTGGTGGTGATTTTTCTGCAATGAGGGCCAGTGTGTGTGTGTGTGTGTGTGTGTGTGTGTGTAATATGATATAATAATATATAAAAATATAAATTTGATGTGGCTGTCCATTTTTTCTCTCACTAGGTATGCAGAAATACACACACACACACACACAGATATATACTTTAAATTTCAGTTTTAACTTAATACTACACGCTTCTCCTCTCTTACTCCATTCCACCTTCATTCCTCCTTTTTCTAGTTCTGAAGTAAATTTTATTTTCTTTCCTGCTTTGCCTTGTCTCTATTCCCTACTCTTATTATTACCCCTCCCTCTACCCTTGCAAAATCTCCTTTCTTTCAGTTAATCACCTCATACTCATTTTTTCCTTTCTTATATCATCTTAATCTCTTTACACCTTTATTAATATTGGTGCATTGGCTGTTGATAGTGTAAGTGTGGGTGCAGGGTATCTTTCTGAGTGCGGGTCTGTTTCCTGGGCTGTTTGGTTTCTGTTCTAGCAGCACCTGTACAACAGTATACAAGATGTAGAGGGTGAAGTAACTCTGTCAGTCAAACAGAGGGAAGAACCCACTGAAGAATGACCCAACAACAACCAAAATGCAATTACAACCACATAAAAGGCATAAAGAGCCGTGCAAGGGCATCAAGCGCAGGTGATGAAGGAGATGCGCCACTAAGTGCCACAGGTCTCCTACCACAGAAGATCACACCATGAAGACAGGGAGTCAAAGCAGATAAATCTAACAAGCAGAAAAAGACAAGAAAAGGCACCTAAAATGGGGATACAAAGAAACAACCCCCAATCAAAAGGAAGGGAGGATTCCCCAGCAAGACTGCCAAATGAAATTGAGGCAACCAAACTATCTGATATCAAGTTCATTATAATGGTTATAAGGACGCTCAAGTAGCTCAGTGAAAAGTTCAGAGAACTCCAGAGGAGCTTCAAGGAACTTACTGTGAACTGCACCAACTGAAAAAGGACATAGAAACTATAAGAGACTGGAGAAAATGAACAATACAATTTCTGAAATGAATAACACAGTAGAAGGAATTAAAAGCAGGCTAGATGAAGTAGAGGATCAAATCAGCGAGCTGGAGGAAAAGGTAGAAAAAAATTCCCAGACAAAACAAAAAAATGAAAAAGGACTCCCCAAAAATGAAGAAGTGTTAAGGGAGCAACAGGACAACATGAAAAGTAATAATATCCATATAATAGGGATACCAGAAGAAGAAAAGGAGCAAACAGTAGAAAGCCTGTTTGAAGAATTAATGACAAAAAAAACTTCCCCAACTTGATGAGAGAAAAAGTCATGCAAGTCCAGAAATCACTGAGGGTCCCATTCAAGAGGAACCCAATGAGGCCCATTCCAAGATACACCATAATTAAAATGGCAAAAATCAAAGACAAAGAGAGAATCTTAAAGGTAGCAAGGGAGAAACAGGTACTAACATACAAGGGAGTTCCAATAAGGCTAGCACCTGACTTCTCAAAGAAAACACTGCAAGCCAGAAGGGAGTGGTAAGAAATATTCCAAGTAATGGAAATCAAAGTCCTGCAACCAAGACTGCTCCACCTACCAAGGCTTTCATTTAAAATGGATGGTGAAACAAGAAGTTTCCCAGGCAAAAGAAGGCTAAAAGACTACACTTCCACCAAACCAGCACTGTGAAAGATGCTAAAGGGACTGCTTTACGAAGATGAAGAAAAAGAGAGAGAGAGGAATGCAGGTACAAAGAGGGAAAATGGCAATGAATAAGTGCACGTCAATAATAATCCTAAATGTAAATCGATTAAATGCTCCAAACAAAAGACATAGGGTACCTGAGTGAATAAGAAAACAAGACCCGCATATATGCTGCCTACAAAAGAACCACCTCAAAACAAAAGACCTACACAGACTGAAAGTCAAGGGGTGGAAAAAATATTCCAAGCAAATAATGGGCGGTGGGGGGGAAGCTGGCATAGCAATACTTATATCAAAAAAATAGATTCCATTTAGTAACAGAACTTGCAGACAAGATGGTGGCATAGGTAGCTACACTTGGCCTCCTCATACAACCCAAAAGACAACAACAAATTTAAAAACAAAAAATAACCAGAACTTCCAGAAAATCAAACTGTATGGAAGTCTGACAACAAAGGAGCCAAAGAAGAAACATTCATCCAGACCCCAAGGAGTGGCAGAGACGGACAGCCAGCTTGGAGAGGATGCATGGCAAGGCGGCGATTGGAGGACCAGGCGGGTGAGGTGGCAACTGGCAGATGGGGAGGTCCCACAATCATGTGCAGATAAACCAGGAGGAACAGCTGGGAAACAATGCAGACTACACAAGCCAGGGTTCCAGTGCAGGAAAAGAAAGCCTCAAAACCTCTGGAGGTAAAAACCTGTGGGGGTTGCGGTGGTAGGAGAAACTCCCAGCCTCACAGGAGAGTCTGTTGGAGAGACCCATGGGGTCCTAGAATGTACACAAACCCACTCACCCTGGAATCAGCACTAGAATAGCCATATTTGCTTGTGGATAGCAGCGGAAGTGACTGAAAGCCGGCTAAGAGCTGAGCAAGCGGCATTTTTCCCTCTTGGACCCGTCCCACACACACACTGTCAAACACAGCAACCTGGGTTGTCCTGCCCTGGCAAATACCTAAGGCTCCACCCCTCCCAACAGGTGCACTGAGACACAGAAATATAGCCCAAATGAAAGAACAGATCAAAGCTCCAAAAATAAAACCAAGCGAATACACAGACAGAAAACCTATCCGATGCACAATTCAAAACACTGGAATCTGGATGCTCACTGCATTGGTTGAGGTTGGTCTCAAAATGGAGGGAAAAGTGAAGGCTATACAAAGTGAAATGAAGAAAAATATACAGGGCACCAACAGTAAAGGGAAGGAAAGCGAGACTCCAAATCAATGACTGGGAGCAGAAGGAAGAGATAAACATTTGACCAGAACAGAATGAAGAAACACGAATTCAAAAAAATGAGGAGAGGCTTAGGAATCTCTGGGACAACTTTAAATGTTCCAACATCTGAATCATAAGGGTGCCAGAAGGAAAAGAGGAGGATCAAGAAATTGGAAGCTTATTTGAAAAAAATAATGGAGAACTTCCCCAATCTGGCCAAGGAAATAGACTTCCAGGAGATCCAGGAAGCTCTGAGAGTCCCAAAGAAGTTTGGCCCAAGGAAGATCAAGCTGGATTTAACTAATATATACAGAACCTTTCACCCCAAAAAAGCAAAATATACATTCTTTTCAAATACATATGGAACATTCTCAAAGGTAGACCACAAAAGAAGCCTCAACAAATACAACAAAATTGAAATCATATTGAGCATTTTCTTGGGTCACACTGCCTTGAAACTAGAAACCAACCTCAAGGAAAAAACTCCAAAACATTCAAATTCGTGGAGATTGAATAACATGCTATTAAATAATGAATGGGTTAACAATGAAATCAAGGAAGAAATCTAAAAGTTTCTAGAAACAAATGAAAATTAACACATAACAGCCCCAAAACTATGGAACACAGTGAAGGCAGTCCTGAGAGGAAAGTTCATAATAATACAGGCCTACCTACAAAAGATGGAAAATTTTCAAATAAACAACCTAACTCTACAACTAGAAGAAGTGGAGGAACAACATAATAATACAGGCCTACCTACAAAAGATGGAAAATTTTCAAATAAACAACCTAACTCTACAACTAGAAGAAGTGGAGGAACAACAATAAACAAAGCACAGAGAAAGTAGAAGGAAGGAAATAATCAAATCAGAGCAGAATTAAATGACATAGAGACTAAAAGAACAATTTAAAGGACCAATAAATCTAGGAACTGGTTCTTTGAAAAGATAAACAAAATTGACAAGCCTTTAAACAGACTCTTCAAGAAATAAAGAGAAAGGACCCAAATAAATAAAATCAGAAACAAAAGAGGAGAAGGAACAACTGCTTCCACAGAAGTACAAAGGATTGTAAGAAAGTACTATGAACAACTATGTCTGAAGAAATATGAAA